TTATTCTCTAGAATGTAAACACACATATTCCACAAATCATGAAGGAAAATATCTTTGAAAATAGTGAGAAAGCATTTGATAGACAATTTTTCAAAAACGTTTTTGAATAGTCAAAGTCACAAAGGTACTCAGTTTCATCATTCTTAGGAAAATGTGTATTAAAATAAAATGAGATAAATTTACATATATCTAAAATTGGTAATGGTTAAAAATTTGGACTCATGAAAGGGTAAAAAGGATATAGATCAATGGAAACACCCAGAACTTGCTACTGTGAGTTAAATTATTGTAATTGTTGTGGAAAACTCTTTGTCGTTATCTTGAGTAAAAACTCCAATACTCAGCAATTCTATTCCTAAGTCTGAACCTTCAAAATGCATGTATGCACCAGGACCCATTTTACAAAAGAGCTTAGTCAGACCTGTTCCTAATGCCTCCGTATAGGAAATACCCGACAACATACATATAAATTCCTTAATGCACATGTGGTCATGTTCACTAAAATGAACAAACCTCCACTATACAGAAAAACAACAATAAATCTTTTAGGAAGTGTGGCTCAAAAAAAGTGAGAAACAAATGTCTTTCATACACCATAACGCTGATGTTCTTCAAGCTTGTGACACCCAGATATCAGGAGTCAGCGAATGACCTGAAGTTGGTTCAAATCCCAACAAAGCCATGCAACAGGCTTCTGCTTGCTCAGCACCAGGCTTCCGTGCCTCTCCCTGTGACATCTTGTGCACACCAGGGCTCGCAGAAAGTTTCCCTCTCAATTGTTCCTAATTGTCTCTCTGGATATACTCATGTAATCTGTGCTTGGTTTTACTGTCAGGAAATTGGGACATTGCAGTAAAGAATTGAATGAACTTTCATGTGATTTAGTTCAGTTGTTTCACAAAAGGTACAGCTACAGGGTGGCTATAGAAATTATACAATGGGAAGGAAGGTTGAGGACTAAGTACATAAATTTATTCTAGTTACAAAAGAAAGAACTCAGTGTAAGTGGACCGTGGCATTCTCTCTGCAGAGTTCAGCTAGCTTGAAGATGACAGTTATGTGGCCTCATTCTATGGGTTTTTTTGCCCCCAGTGAAACATGCGGATTTGTGTAGAGAGCCCACGCTCCTTGCCATAAGCAAGGCACTCTGGCGTCAGCTGTTTTGTGAGATGATGCATCCCATCCCCTCTTCTTTTGAACACTACCTGTGAACCTCTGAGTGTTTGGCTTCCTGCATTCCTGTCGTCATTGTAGCGTTCAAGGACTCTCTCTTCATGGTCTCTTATTAGGAATTGCTGTTACTAAATCAACCTTTAATAAGAAAATCTTCCCATATTATCATCTGGTCTAACAACTTTTTTTTCTGTAAATTTAGCATACATTTATAATTGGATCCTCAAACCTTCACCATTTACCAGTGAACCTAAGCCTGTGTCATTTTTAGTTGACTGTCATTGCTGTAGGTCTATGCCGACACAACACAGCAAGGAGCCCTCATTATTCTTTAAAAGGAAGGACACTTTCATGCTTGTTACCCTGCAGATGAACCTAGAGGACACTACGAGGTGCAGCAACAGTGCAGTAACATTATTCACCAAAATACAATGGTTATTTTTAAAACTGTCGCAAAATCTATGCAGAAAAACACCGATCATCTTAACCATTTAAGTGTGCCCTTCAGTAGTGTGAAGAATATTCATATTGTTTGAAAATAATCTCCAGGACTTTTTCATTGTAAATTTGAAATTCTGTACCTAGTAAATAACTCTGCCTTTTCCTTATTCCCAGATTCTGAAAATCATTTTAATTTCTATCTCTTTGAGTTTGATCATTGTAGATGCCTCATATAACTGGGATTATAAACTACTTGTGACTGGTTTATTGCACTTAACAGTGTCCTCTGGATGCGTCCATGTGGTCACAAGCATCAAAGTTTCCTCCCTTTTAAAGAATAAATACTGCTCCTTTGACCTTGTATGACACGTTGTGTTTACGCATTTATCTGTGGAAGTACATTAGGGTTGTCTGTACCTTGTGGCTACTATGAACAATGCTGCAATGAAAAGAGCATAGAAATATCTCTTCCAGACTGCATTCAGTTCTTCTCAGTTAATGAAAACAAGTGGAATTGCTGCGCAATGTGGTCATTCTATTTTTAATTTTGTCGAAGTGCCACCACACTGTGTGCTTGCACTATTTTATGTCCCCACTGTGTGAACAAGATTTCCAATTTTTCTAGAACCTCATCAATAACTACTATTTTCTGTTTTAGTTTTTACTGGTAGCTTCTTTCATTCTTTTACCTGGTAGCCATTCTACTGAGTGTGCAGTCCTATCTCATTGTAATTTTGCTTTGTTTTATGTTCAATGTTTCCGTAAGTGCTTCTTCACCATTGATGTATCTTTTTGAAAGAAAGATATTCAAGTCTTCTCTCATCTAAATCTATTTTGTGAGTTTGTGCAAGGTTTTTATACGTATTCTGAATGTTATCACCTTATCAGATATATGATTTGTAGGTGTCTTATATTCTTCAATTAGTCTTTTTAAGTCTTAAGTTCTGGTTGTGTGAATTTCAGGAGAAATTCTTTTAAACATTTTTGGGAATTATTAAAATTTCTTTTCATGTGGAGTATAAATTAGAAAACTTTTACTTAGTTCCATAAAGATATTTCACATCCAGTAATATGGCTCTTCATTTATTTAACATTTCTTTTTAAGTTCTATAACAACATTTTTGGCTAGGTGACAGTATGATTTAAATTCTTAAAATTTAAAAACTACATTTAAATTTATATTTACAAATTGTGGTGCAATACATTTTATACTTTTTTCTTGAAAAATGTTACATTTTTATATTAATTCCAATTTTGATTCACTTAATTGAATGTCAGAGTTATACAATTAGATTTGAAAATGATATTGTATTATTTATAATGATTTTGCATCCTTTTAACTTCCTGTGATATTGACTACATGATATCATGTTTTTTCTGAATCGGGTTTATTTGTACAAACATCACAGTAGGACACCAGTCCCATGCAGACCGCAGCCCCAGGGCTTACATGAGCCCTTCTGTCTTCACACTGACAGAGAACGTAGAGGAGTAATGTGGTCCATGCCACTTTGTAAGCCTGAGAAGGAGCCAGAACTGCAGCATCGAGCTTGCCCTTGAGTTGAATCCAGGTCTTAGTCTTGGTTGTTGGAATCTGAGAATCTTAGCAATATGAGCACAGACATGCTTTCTGAGCAGAGTAAGGGATGTAGGCAATTTTATCAGGCTCACAGTTGACACCTTGGGATCTTGAGTATAACCTCCTTGAGCCTTTAGGAGACCTTGATAACCTGAGCATGTGTACCTATGTCCTCGGCCTCATTTACCTACATCTTCATCATGCACTTCTTGTGCTTCTAGGAAAAATGCATGGCCATCAGGAAATGGGGGTCTATCCCTTAGCAGATTCTTATCTTTCTGATCAGGATTTCTGGATGCCTCTTCTTTGCCTTCTTTGGGCCTGGCTGTCTTTTGAGTTGATTTTTTATTTGACTATGTCTCTAGTGGTGGCCCACAGCTCCAGGAACAGCTAGGAGGGACATGAGAACATTTTTGCACAAATGGTGTTTCAATAACTATTGTATTCTTATTTTCAAATATTGTGATGTAAAATAATCCTTAAATTTTAAGAAAAAGTTTTATCAAGGTATCATCAAACAAATACAGCCATTTTTTTATATGTGTGTGATAATTAGTGATAGATTTGATATTTATTGTAAAAGAAACAAGATTATAACTATATCCCTTGATTTTTAAAAAAGACTATGAAGTAGAACAATCAGTATTGCTTCATATATATAACAATCATTTGGATTAATGGACAAAAATTTTAAAAGTTGTTAGTAAATATCTCAAACATTATCTTCCTTAAATATATCACTGAGAGCTACCTTAAATACTGTTGGAAATAAAGAATAAGCATTTAGAATATATTAAACTTCAGGAAATAGTTATAAAGATTAGGAAGAGATGGCTGTTTTATTTGTGCCACATTAGTAAAAACAACAGACACTTGTAACTTTCCCTCCCAAATCTGTTGGCCCTAAAATATTTATAAGGTTTTTAGAGACAGAAAATGATTCCTGAGAACTTGGTTGTGAGGATTTTCCTGAGAACTTGGTTACGAGGATTTTCTTCTTCACACAGACTGGAGTGGGAATCTTAGGCAGTTCCTCACTTCTGTTTTATTATTCCTCCTCTATATTCACTGGAAAGAGTCTGATTCTCAAAGACCTGATTTTAAAGCACTTAACTTTAAGCAACTCCTTGGTGATTGTCTCAAGAAGAATTCCTCAGACAATGGAAGACTTTGGGCTGAACCATTTTCTGGATGACACTGAATGTAAACTTGTTCTCTATCTTTATTAAGTGTCTGGGAAGATTTCCCTGTACACCACCTGCCTCCTGAGTTGCTTCCAAGTGCTCACAGTCAGCACCAGCAACAGCAGGTGGATGAAGCTGAAACTTAGAGCCACCAAGTACATTGGTCCCTGGTGTTCATTCAGTTGGCTTATGCACCTGCTTCTGAATGTCATGATTCCCATGACAGTGACTGGCCCTAGAAACAGCAAAAATATCAGCAGGACACTGAAATTTTCCCAGTGCTCAGGGTATATTTCTAACACACTTGTAACTCCATTATATGTGCTCTTGCTCAGCTTCAGCGATGGTCAGGGTCTGGGTCTCTTGGCCTCCACAAGCACTTTTGATACTCGGATTTCTTCCTGGAAAGACAATTTTGCTCATTGTACTTTCTCAGGGAGATCCAACACTTGCTGGCGTATGCATAACCTAAGATGAAAACTGAAATGCAACAATTAAACAAAACACTACATCAAATCAACACTTGTCTAATCCATCACACAGTGAAAATTATTTCAAGTGAATTTGCAAACTGTGTTTTTACTACTTTTACTTTTATAATGTGTTTGGAGATCCATGGAAACAAAGACTGATCAAGAGAGAATACTCAAAGTCTATTTATTCAAAACTTGCAGCAATAAGGGGAGCAACTACCACCAACTAACTGCATGTTGGCAGGGTCTCAACAACAGACAGAGAAGTCAGAAATCTTGTCCATCTTATCGTCCAGGTGGAAAATATTATAATGAAATATAAAAATAAAATGTTTTGCTAGTAAGATAATTAGTTGTACTATATATTTTATATGTGACCCAAGTTAATTTTTTTTCATTCAGTGCCACCCAGGTGAGCCATAACCTGTGGTCACATAGCCCAGGAACAGGAGAAGGTGGCAGGGATGCCTTCTCTAGGAAGCTGTACGTGGGTCAAATGGAGGCTGATCATCCTATGTGATGGGTTAGGGGCATGTATTCAGTTTTCTATCATTAGTGCTAAAACAGAAACTAGAGAAATTGTCTATTATTGATCATGCCCAGAATATTTGGAGTCAACTGATTTAAGTATTAATAATGTTTTCTTGCTGGGCTATTTCTAGGCATGGTGGTCTGGCATACTGCAAACTAGGCCTACATAATTTTAAATGTTGCCTGCAGAGGTAGTAATGCTACTGCATGGATGTTAATGCCCTGGCTTCAGTACTGAACTGGGCTATGCAATGTTCTTGGCTTTACGAATTATACAGTAAACTGTTTAGTTTGACATAAACAGTACAGAAAAAACTTTTATGAATATTTGGAGAATCTGGATATGAATAAAAAGCAAAACAAGTGATGGATAGGAGGAAGTAGGGAGATAGGTATTTCTCAAAGGGGAAAGGGATCAAGAGATAAAGAGACTAAGTGATAGGTTCCTGCCCCAGTATGAATTGTTGAATCATGGTGGTGGTCTATCATGGCTGGAGCCCAAAAACAACAGCCTATCTTCCAAACCTCCACTTCCCCCTTCTTCTCCCCTCAGCCCTGAATACAACTTCCTCTTACCCTTCCCGTGTGCTCAAGGGAGGCCCCAATCAGCTCCTGATGCATTGCTGAGCCCACCCCTCAATCTTAGCCGTTAGCCAGAGTCCTCATTAACCCCTAGCCTCCTTTGTCTACCTCAGAGGAGCCCTGTGCTGCATGCAGTCCTCTTCTCTCCATGTCCAGAGTAAAGGCCTTCTTTCCCTGTTTGTTTCTTCTGTGTTGAAAAATCTAACAGTTATGGTGCTGTGACTCGAGAACAGACAGTGTGGCCCCTGGGTCAACCCCCAGTTCTGAGACCCCTCTGCCCATGAGCCAACCTCCTTTCCTCTGGGACCTGCCTCTGTGCTGTTACCACCTCGTTTCCCATAAGTGAGCCACCTCTCAGTTTTGGGGTCTCCTGTCTCAGTTTCTCAGTCTCTCAGTCTCAGAAACACATGGGCCCACACCGGGAAATCCTCTGTGCATCCCTTGGGCAGGGGTAACCACCCTCATGTTCCTTGGGCAGGGCTACTGCCCTTAAGCCCCAAGGCAGGGTTATTGCCCTCCCATCCTTTGGGAGAACCCCTGCACTCTTGGCGAAGGCTGACAAGAACAGGTGTTGGAGTTCTCTCCTAGTCACACTCCCAAAATGAGTGGCGACTCCTTTTGAGAAGTGGGACCCAGCCTATTTTGGCTCTAGCTCTTGCCTCACCTCTAATTTGGTCACTATGGGAAATTCCTTTCTGCTCTCAAAAAGACACACCACTGAGGTGCCTTGTTTGTAATATTGGCTCCCTTGGCCTCAGGGAGACTGTAAAACCCGAAAAACTCGTCTTTCACTGCCAGATGGCTTGGCCACCGCACAAACTCAGCAATGGCAGCAAATAGCCTGAAGAGGGAACTTTTGACCCTTCAGCCCTCCAAGACCTAGACAGTTTTTGTCATCATACCAGCAAATGGACAGAAATCCCCTATGTTGAGGCCTTCCTCACCTTGAGGACATGTCTCTCTCTTATACAGTCATGTAAGGGGGCCCAAGTACTTGTGGCCTGCGCTGCTCTGCCTTATTCTCTTCCCTCCACTCCAACAGATCCTTTAGATGACATACCTCTGGTCCCTGTTCCCCCTCCCCCATACCCTCAAGCCCAAATTGTATGTTAAAAATCTCCTCCTCAGCCAGAGGTTCCTGAGCTTTCTACCTCACCCTTCCCCCTTGTCTCACCCACTACTGCCTCTAGTTCTTCCTTTACTTCCTTAACCCAAACTCCAACTCCTCAATCTCCTCAACCTGAGACACCTATTCTGTCTGACGGCCCCTCTTCTTCCTCCCCTCCAGTCCCCCCTCACCCTTTTCCCCTCCTGCTCATCATGCCTGGTCTCATGTCTCTCAGCCATCAAAAAAACCACATAGTATTTGGTTACCATCTTGCAGTCCCTTGTCATGTGATCCTCAGCAGCCATCTTGTTGTGGGTCACATGGTACTCAGTCACCCTCATCATCTGACCACCAGCAGCCATCTTATTGTGGGTCACATGGTATTCAGTTGCCATCTTGTGTTTCCTTGTCTCATGGTAGAAGACAGCCCTCTTGTGGTTAGTCCTGTAATAGCCCATAGCAGTGATTGGTGGCTAGATGGATATCTACACCTCCCACTCAACAGTCCTCTCAGCCTCGGTCTTTGCTGCCTCTCTTGGAGCAGGCTGGTCCTGAGGGACTAGTTCATATCCATGTTCCTTTTTCCCTTGCCAACCTATCCCAAATTAACCATAGGTTAGGTTCCCTCTCCACTGACCCTTTCATATCTTCAACAATAGCGATGAAAAACAAAAGGAGGAACAAGAAGCACAGAAAAAAACCTTCCTAAATATAAAACTGATGTTTCAGCAGTGGCACTCAGAGCTCCTAAGACAGGTAAACCCAAACAAGGCAGAGCCATCCGAGCCCCTCCTGGAGCTTGCTTCAAGGGCAGCAAAGTCTGGGCTGAATCTGGTTCCTGTATGAGTCCTGAACTGAGTGGAGACATAGATTTAGGTGATTCACAAACTGTAGACCCTGCAGTTTGTGTCCGAATC